CCCCAAAACCCCAAAACCCCAAAACCCCATCAATTTTTGATTATTTTGAGGATTATAAAAATTAAAAATGTAAATTTTATGGCTTTATTGAATTGGAATGGGAGTCTTTACAACTCTCTTCAGTTTTGTTTCTCTCTATTGAGAAAAATCAAAAAAGAACATCAATATTCTATCCTTTTTCAGAGCTGGTATCATAATTGCAATACTAGAAGCTACAGTCACTATATTCGAACCGTATTCTTCTGAAGTGTATCATAATGTAGGTACAGTAAGATTTCAGGCCAGCCAGCCCTGAAATCCAACTACATCTTTAATCAGCTGATCCATATAGAGCAATTTCCAGGGATAAGCAGTGAAACCCTGGAAACCCTCGGGCTATTCATTGAAGTTTCTGTCACCTTAGGACTCCTCTTAATACTCTTCATTGACTAATTATTAATTTGTGAGCCCATGAGTAAACAATTTTCTACATTTTTAGCAATGAACAAGACCAACTTGGCAATGGAGACATTATACTTGGAGAGATTGATAGAAGAAATCTGTCTCAAGAAATCCTTGAAGACCAGTAAGAAAGTCTTAGTTTAAAGCATAGAAGCTCTCTTAGTGGAAAATCTGGCAATAAGTATGATACTTTTAGTAAAGATTCCTCGGCAAATACCTAAGATATGAAAAATCTATATTTGTTACATTCTTGTGTATAGTTATCCATTCGATAATTGATGGAATATCCTTTGGGGCAGTCAACTTCGCTGGACATTGGAGGGATAAAAAGTGTTTCAGATGATTATTTTTACAGCAATGGTGTGACATAAAATTCCTGCAGCAATAGAACTGATCTCTTTTATGATCCGTCAAAAGGTTAAACAAAGATATTTAAGTATCTAATAAGGTTCTTTTTCTCAGCATCAATAGCCGCAATAATAACCTACTATACTCTCTGAGATATTAAAAGCAGGTTTTCAAACACAGATAAATCATACAAATGGTTGGCATTTGCTTATTCATTTCAGCTGGTTCTTTTATTCATGTTGCTTTAATGCGTATTGTTCCGGAAGTATTTTCAAGAGTAAATAAGCATCATAAGAACAAGAATAATCGCCACAAAATTAGGAATATTAACCAAATCTTAATTATGCCATTGGATGATGTATTCTTTTATTTGTTCATTTATTGAATAATTTAATATTAATCATTATTTCAAAAAAATTAAAATTAGAGGGGTTTTGGGGTTTTGGGGTTTTGGGGTTTTGGGGTTTTGGGG